ACTCGAATCGCTTGTCAGTGTAGGTATAGCTGTAGGTCGCACTACAGATATAGATGAGGCCGATGTGATTCATCTGATGTGAAACACCTGTATGTGCGGGGACTCAGCTGTGGACATCTGTCGAACCATGCTCACAGGTGGCCAATAGGGGTCAGACTGAAGGTCGGCATGCTAACGCCGTCTTTGCACAGCTGTCTCTGTTGTTTTCATAAAAGAATATGCTTATTTACAGGTATGCAATGCTGTATTTGTGTTAGGAAAACTAGAGCATTTCTTTTTTAATATTTTGTTTATTTTGTTTCGCCCTAACTGTGGTAGCATTATTATCTTACCATGGACATATTTCAGCCTTATACTCTCCTGTTTTCGCCTGGCCGATGCTTTATTTCTAAATTGACAATTTTGGAAGAAGTAGCCGCTAGAACGGAGCCATAGACTTCTGATCACTTTTTGTTTTGGGGGCAATGCCTGAGCCCTGGGGCAATGGATGTCATGCATGTCAAATTTGGTTGGAGCTATTGTGTCGGATAACAATTCGTAGCTTACTACTGATTCAGACCGTTAAAAAGTCGTTATCGGTTTTGTTTGGTTTTTTTTAAGCTGATATTCCTAATAGTCCTATATTCAACATTCTATGTCCAACATTTTCGAGCACAAGACAAGACTGCATAGTCGATACGAGACCGGACAAGAAGGTCACTGCACCTATTACGTCATTTGATCACTTGATAAAGACTCGTTGGCAGGACAGCCAGACTCTCGGCCTTCCCCTATACACTCTGAACGTAGGCTGATGAAAGATTTCAGGAGAACCTGGCACGCCTCCCGATCGGCCGACCCGGGGTTTGTATCGATGACCGCGGTGGGACTGAGGTCAAAGGTCAGGTCATGCTCTGCACGCCGCGAACCCGGAGATCAGGTGGGCGGGTCGGCCGGCATTTAGGCAGAACTGGCGCGGGGCGGCTGGCTCCCGGCCAGCGTCATCACAGCTGAGATTTGCTTGCGCTGTTCTGCGGACACAAACACGCCGCGTCGGGCACGAGCAGTGGCGCCCCAGACACGATGAGTGGCGCTCGAGGGGCGAGTATTGGCGGCTCTGATACGAATAGTGGTGCTTTGGGCACCAATAGCGGCGGTCCGAGCTACGGTAGCTGCGCTTCAGGGAGCGTTGTCATGGACAATGGTATCAGCGGCGCGCGGGCAATCTGGATTCGTCTGTTGGCTTTGGACGCGGGTGGCCAATTCGAGTAATTAATGCCTCCGTTTCCTTCTGTGGCTGTCAAAGCTGATGTTTTCATAACAATCTTATTTGACAAAAATAGAAGTGTTTTTTGGCTCAGGAATTCAATTACGGCGTATTGGTTTATGCAAATAAAATAAGAGATAATCAAATAAAACAGCTACCTACCATTTCTAAATGTATGCCGGAACAACAAGAAGCACGTGTTACCCTAAGGAAGCCAATAACAACGAACCTGATATACACCATATCATTTCACCTGTCGGGATTCCATATTGAGCTGACTGACATTGCATGTACGCGTTGTGTACAGTATCGTAATTGCACAATATCAGCATTTGAAAAATTATAACCTGCTTTTTTTAACTAAGCTTGGTTATAAGGAAACGGAACGCCTGGACCATGATAAGAAATATGTCTTCTCATTTGATCCGTTGTTATTAACACGCAACGAATCGGGTTCACTGGCAGTGGAACCGGGGAGGAAAACTGGTCTCCTTCCCTTCCCCTGCATGATTTTGCAGGGCTTATCGAAATTGCACGAAGTGTCAGGAGACGCCAAATCGATCGTAGGCTACCTTTACTCCGACTGGTGCCATTGGTTACATAGGCGGCGGAACGGGGGGGGGGCACCGGGGCACCGTGCCCCCCCCTTGAATTCTGCAAGGGGGGCACCAATAGCAAGGTGCCCCCCCTTAAATTTGATGTATTAGTACCAGGGGCGGATTCGGGAAGACTCCAAGGGGAGGGTCAAGAATCGAAGTGGTGCCCCTACCTATACCCAAAATTAAAACCTCAACGGATTTCGGCCACTTAATTTTGGTGGTGCCCTATTTTTGTTTTTTTTTTCTTTGCTTTTGGTTAGTCATGTGATGACTGGTGCCCCTGCTAGGCCGCTGGTGCCCCTGGAAAGACTGTGGTACCTACCTACCCTGCCCCCTGACAAGCCTACGGTGGGCCCTGACATGACTTAGGTGCCCATGGGCCCTGACAGGCCCGTGGTGCCCCTGACAGGCCTGTGGTGTCCTTGCTAGGCCTGTGGTGTCCCTGGGCCTTGGCAGGTCTGTGGTGCCCCTGGCGAGTCTGTGGTTTGTGGTGCCCCTGACAATCTTAAAGTGCCAACGACAGGCTTGTGGTGCCCTTGACAGGCCCATGGTGCCCTTGCGAGGCCGGTGGTTCCCCTGCGAAGCCGATAGTGCCCCTAGCAGGCCTCTGGTGCCCCTGGCAGGTCTGTGGTGCCCCTGGAAGACCTGTAGTGCTTTTGCTAGGCGGATGGTGCTCCTGACAGTCCTGTGGTGCCCCTGCTAGGCCTGTGGTACCCCTGGCGGGCCTGTGGTGCCCCTGTCGGCTGTCAGGCCTGTGGTGCTCCTGGCAGGCATGTGGTGACCCCAGGCCTTAAGTCATGAGTCGACCCATGTGACCTCCCCCCTGGGATTCGCCACTGATTAGTACTGCGATGGCTTCTTGGGAATTCGATACATGTAGGCTAAATGGAATTTATCAAACGACAATAAGGAAGAGACAAACACATAGGTACTTGAGGATCAGCTTAAAGTTAACCACACATACGGGGGTAAGCTGCCATTTTCGTTTAGTAAAAAAAAAAATAAAGAAAAAATAAAAAAATCATCGTGGCAGGGCTTTGACGAAAAATAAGTGGCCTAAATCCGATGAGAAAACAGGATTTGGGGGTACCCTAGGTTTGGCTCCTTGAGCTGGTGCCCCCCCTTATCTCAAATCGTTCCGCCGCCTATGATTGGTTATAATCGAATGGACTTTCTTCATGGAAATAAGATCGTCTTTTGTTAGCGCTATGGGTATGACCTTGATCTTACTCAAAGAAGCTTGTCAAAGACCTAACGCATCACCAAAATAGCCGGTCGGAAGCCACTGATCATGGTCCATAAACATTCACTAACGACCGCGCACAGCCGAGCATCAAAGGCATTGCCGCCAGCAGTGTTCTGCATGTGTATGGAGGCATTCGCGCGAATTATACCCCCCATACAGTATACAGGGTAGTATGCCAATGTCAAAGGTGGGGAGGGAAACGTGGATGCGCATGTTCAGTAAATGAACGGAAAAAGTAACTTTCTACGTATGTACACACGTTCCGTAGTCCTTATGTGAAACGGCTGTGGTAGTTAGAAGAGTCGGAGATCCCGATTCATTAAATACGATGCTTTTCTGCATTTTATCTTCATCTCGTTTGGCTTTATCCGTGTGGTGAAACGTTCAAGGAAATATTTGTCAGGGGCTCCGCCACAGGGGGGTACGCGGGGGTCCGGACCCCCTCAATAATTTACCTGGGGGTACAGTACCCCCCAATATTCCGAATAAGTATAAGCTTGTTTTCGCATAAGAATGACTAAAGCATTCACAGAATGTGTTGAATAACTTAGAATGTGTTGACAGTCGCAAAGCTAAGGAATTTAAGATCTAGAAATGTAGGGATCCCTTAAAATGTTGTGACACACGAAGTGCTCAACTCTCGCCGACCTATATGTACGGGAGTGCCATTATTCTACCATTTTGTTATTAAAATGAATGCGTTTAAGATTGCTATAGGATTAGCTAAGCATGCCAGAATTCGGCTATAATGTCGTGAGAGAGGTCCAGCTTGCAGGACACCTCCTAGACACCATACCCGCCCTAAATGAGCTTCAAATCGATCTGAGCATCCTTTTTTCCATGTAAGGTCAACCGATAGTGTTGAAGGAAGGGGTTAAGCCGGTCTTTCGAGCACCGTGCAGGTCGAAAGCAGCCTCACACCGTTCTGAGGTAATCTGCAATAATCTGCACAGGACTCTGAATGCAGGTCGGTAGAGATACATCTACAAATCACAACTCTTACAGGATCCCCTGCATAGCCTGACCTTTGATTCAAGTGCAGCATTTTGATATCCATCTTCAGGTCAAGATAGGTCACTCTCTGATCACAGACACTGAATGTCAGTCTCTAAGAACTCCATACTGCTATATGTATGAGGGCAGGGCTTTCAAATCCCTTCAACGACTCCTAAAGCCCTGCGCTTTCCTTTAACTACGGCCTTGGAGGACCCGGCACTGGCCTAAGAGCCTACATAGATATCTGAGCGCCTATGAAGGTCCCTGAATTCCCAAGCCCATGCCAGTCACTGAGAGTCTAATGCGCTGTCTGATGGCTTACACCGCCCTTGGAGCGCGCAACAGCGGCCTCCATTCCTCAAGAACGTTGATTTGAGAGGCCGTCATGTCGGTGTCAATGGGCTCCGCTTCTCGATTTTCGATTCCTTGTGCAAATTGAAACTTGGTTTTTCGGTTTTAAGCAGAATTCTCCGGATAAAGTTATAAAGTTTTCTTTGAGCTCTAGAAAAAGCGGCAATTTTTCATCATCTTCGGGAGCTGCAGGGAGGAGGGGGAGGGTGAATTCGCCCAAAATACCCAGTACCCACCCTGGATCCGCCAGCGAGGTTTTGTGTTTGGGTCGGACCCCCCCAATATCAAAACCGTGGCGGAGCCCCTGATATTTGTTCAAACTCGCATATTTATCATGTATCAAAAGAAAATATATCGATAATGAGAACCAATCGCGCAAGGGAAACGGGAATGATGCGATGCATCTAAATAAATTTCCAACAAATGTGATTTTAGGGAATGAGCTCCGTGAATGTTATGCAATATGAATCTTAACTGCATTTAACTGCAATGTGAGGCGACATGCAGTTGCCATAAACACAAATCGGAATGTCAAATTACTTATGTTCTACATTTGGCTCACCTTCAAAATCGGTGCTCTGTCCTCTGTTGGCGCAGGATTAATCACTATATTATGGGACTAGACAGAGCCCCGGTAGGACTCCAGTGGGTCCCGGCAGCTCCGGCGCGGCAGCGGCTGTACCCGGCGCGGGCCGGCGCGGCGCTCCGCGTCGAGTGCGCGCTCGCCCGGTATCCCTGCCGCCTCTCGGGGGCTAACCGACCGTCGGCTGCGCACGCAGCGCACCGGCAATCAATAGGGCAGCCGCCGCCGCCGACAGCCGCCGACCGCGCAGCCACCCGACCTCCGCCGCTCCCTCTCTCCCTCCTCTCTCTCCTCTCTCTCCGTCGACTGCCGCTCCGCCGACGCCGTCGGTAACGTCTCCGCGCGACGGCAGCGACTGCAGAGCAACAGGAGCGACGCCATCGACCCTGACTCTGCGCCGCGACGCCTCCCCGCCCTCTCCCTGTCCCTCCCCGTGTTGTTCTCCTCCCTGCTCCCCCTCCCCTCGCAGTGCCCCGACCCCTCCCTAACGTCTGCCCCCTCCCTAGGGGTGGTACTGCTGTCGAAACTATGTGATGCATCGGTCATACTGAACGATAGAGGTCTGCACCGGCCGGCTGCAGCCGCGGCTGGCTGCAGCCCCACGGCTGTGGGCCGGGGCGGCTGCAAATATCTCCAAGAACACGGCTACGGCTGTGGCCACGGCTGTGAGATTTACAGCTCAATCTTAAGTACTCAAATATAAAATTTTAAATCCTTAATCTTACATTCTAATAAGCAGTCTAGCCTGTAAAAATCATGCAAAGGATGCCCAGCAACATTGAAAGTGGTGAAGCCTTTGAAAACCTGTAATGGTTTTACCATTTGCTGTAGGGGAGTTTGCACTCTGGTACAGAATACTAATTATAGGTACCAATTGTTCCTTCATCATCAAGAGCTTGACAGTTTCAGAAAATGCAACATGCTGCATTGTGACATCCCTCTCAAATCAATCTCACCTGGTCATTAGGAAAACACCTTACAGCTATTGAAGACGAGCGTTCAATAATTCTTTCAGGTAATAGAAAAAGAAATCACGCCTAGGTAAAGGCTTCATAAAATATTATCTAAAATAACTCTTAGAAGTATTTCTGGATTTTCGGCAAGTCCAATTACATAATATAAAACTGGCGCTTTATGTTCTAACTGGTGTGTGAGTGACCGCTAACAGAAAATGCTGATCAACGGAGCCAATGGAATTAGATTATAAGTGACCATGAACCTTACTTACGGTTAATTCACATGATGGTGAAAACCCTGAACACGTAATTCACATGACGGTGAAAACCCTGAACACAATATTTCTTACGCGAGCTGTTGACTTTACTAATAAACTGACGTCTTCTTCTGAAAATGTTAAAATTTGATACCTAATCTTTGTTTGAGAGCAATTTTTTAACTAAATAGCATTATTATTTAATAATTATTATTTTCATGGCTGTTTATAGTGACAAAAACAATTTATTGCCACTTCTTTGCTATTGACGTCATTAAAAACTCAAGTAAAATTTTTGATTGAAAGACTGGCAATTGTGGCTCGCACGTCCTTGGGGATTTGAGCGAAGATCATTATTTGGAAAAATCAAAATAGATGAATGTTTTTCTTTGTTGGGTGCTCACTAGTGTTTTGATGCCTTGCATATCAAATTAGTTTTAGACTTGCTCAGAAGGCTGCTTCAAGCCTGGCATATCACACCCCAGAAAATATGCAAGGTAAGAAAGAAGCAAGAGTTTTGACTAGACAATCACTGTTTGACAGTCCATCAACTTCAGTTTCATTTTCCATACCTAACCTAACATTGATAATGAAAAGCATCAGGGTCTGTTCTGTCCCACAACCATGCTTCAGGATTTGGCATTAGATTTCTACACTGCTAGTGCTTCTATTCTGGTTCGTTGTTTATGTTTTCTGTTGATGTAGGTACCTACCTACCCATCTTTCTTAACCCCTTGCAAGGGCTTGTGTAGGCATGCGTTGCACATCAGGCTTCAGGCCTTCGGCCTAAAGCCAGATATACAACCACTTAACCTATGATGCTTCATGAGCTTGAGAATCTATAGCCCATTGCAATGTGCTTTTGGCTATATGTTTCAACTAAAAACAACTTAATATTATATACTATTTGGTTGCATTTCATTGAAAGTAGCCACGGCCGGCTGACGGCTGGCTGCCCACAGTTTGCCACGGCTGTGGGCGGCTGTGGCTGTGGAGCCACGGCTGCGGGGCGGCTAGGCTGTGGAAAATTGCAGCCGTGCAGAACTCTACTGAACGACCGATGTAGCCGTGAAGTGACAGGTCTGGACCAAACTGGATATGTGACCTGGATGGATAATGTTTTTATATTGAATATATAGTCAGGGATACTGGGTTGAAAAGGTTTCGCTAGTTACAGGCAATCTGACCTGAGTTGCTTTCTTGGAAAAGATCAGAGGAACCAATTTTTATTTTCATTTTGAAGTTCCTAGCTATTTTGTGACGAAGATGAGAAGTGAATGCTCTTTTTTTCATTTTCGTTGGGCACTCAACATCGCCAAAGTAAAGTCATAGCTCATAACCACAATCATTGTTGATTAAAGGCATTATTCCACAAGGTGGCTGTCATGAATTCGATCGAGTGTTTTACATAGAACGCTTTGAAAAGCGAGTCCTACTTGAATATGCAAAACATGGTAAGTTCAGGGTAAATCTAACTTAAAACGTTATTTCACATTTAAGAGCAGCATGCACGACACATCTAAAGCGCATGGAGCTATAGGTAAGTGCAAATTACTTGAAATCAATGTCTAAAGTTACCGTAAATCTGGCTCATAAGCATGTCCTATTTATCACTATCGCTCCCTCCCCCCCCCCTCTCTCTCTCTCTCTCTCTCTCTCTCTCCACCGGTAAAATACACTCCACAAGCTGCCAACCGCTTGCACCCCATTTGGCACAAGCCGACCTTCCAACACCCTACCGACTCCGGGTAGCATCCGTTCCCCATCGGAGCGAAATATCCGCTCTCTCCGCGCAGGGTTCGCCTCATGGCATGACCCATTAATCGACCAAGCGCGGGGACAAAAACTGGCCTTGGCACTGGGCCAGGAGCAACGCAGGGGTGAGCGCCCTCCACTGCCGCCCCCCCCCCCCCCCCCGCGACCGCCACTATAGGTCACGTGATCGTCGCCCGGGTGAGGGGTTAATATCATGCCGCTGCACTTAGATTTTCTTGGAGGCGAGTGTGGAAATAAAGTGATGCCTCAAGCTCAATTTGCCAGTAAGTCTTAGGCTGATTTTTTGACGTGGTGGTAATCTACTTTCAATTTTCTGATGACTGCAAAACTGGGCGCTCGTCGAGAAAAAGTGTGTGTGTGGGGGGGGGGGGGGTAAACGACCTTTCCCCCTCCCGACAACTTGTGAGTCGTCACTCGTCAGTGCCTAATTTGGTTGAACTGGTCGATTGTATACCTATATCGATTTAGATTCGGACGCTTGTTCGACATCCCGCGCTCAATCAATCACGCTGCATCAGTATTGTAATTGCGGCAAAACAACCCAAGCTAAATGGATGTAAAACGTTATACTCTGTTCCGTTTCAAGCTTGCAGCCGAAGTGCCCTGCTGAAAGCAGTGCGTGATTTCTGTATATACAGCTCTTACATTTTAAGACGCAAATTCTTGAGCGGAGGAGCGATCTGCCAAAGAAACTCCGACTGCAAGCTTGATATGGAACAGACTATAGTTCCGGGGAAGGGTGGGACAGGGAATTCACTAGGCTGGTGGGCAGCCCCACTACCCGAGTTGGGATGGGCCATGGTAAAAAATATTGACGAGCTATGTGTCAAAACAAGGGTCTCGAAACAGTCACCAGGTTGTCAATGCTTCCGGTACCTACCACTTGACTAGTTACCGCTTAGTTAGCTTACAGGCTGAGAACCATCCAGATCGTTATGATCCGGTATTGTAATGATACCCTAGGTCACAGACTTCTCTATACATGGACTGTGCACTGATCTGGCCAAAGTAGCATAAGGGGCCCAAAAGTGAACCTAGTTTTAACTTATTAAGAACCCTGCAAACCTGGCAAAATTTAACATGGATATTGTTTGAAGTTTTATCTGTCTAGTAAGTAAAAAAAATATTTTGATTTTGATATAAACAAAAAAAAATCGTTAAAAACAATAACAGTTTTCATGAAAATAGTAGTGGTAAATGATATCTGAGAATATCGGAGGTATCTCCCGCAAATAAGCACCAATGAGTTGCACGCAAATTCTTTATTTTCTGGAAATCCTGCCACAATCAAGCCAAGGCCCTAAAATTAAGCAAGGCTTCGCCACATTTAGGATATTTAGCCTATGATTTTAGTTGTCTATTTTCCATCTTTTCTATTTTCCTTTGAAAGGGTTTTTGATGACACGGAAGTGTACGGTACGTAATTGTTATTCTGGATATAGAATCACACGGCATCGGAGAGGAAGTGACAAGAGAAAGGGAAAGGTATCGGTATTTAGCTTTCCACGCGAATGTGCATTGCGAAAGAAGTGGCTGGAAGCAATCAGACGAGGTGTAAAAGAATCATACCCTAAAAGTGGTGGGGTTTGTGAGCTCCACTTTTCCAGTGATGACTTTTGTGTCACTGCCACGACAAGAAGAACCGACCGTCAGCGACGGCGCCTCAAGCCAACCGCAGTTCCAACAGTGCTCCCACCCCGCGACAAGTAAGTTGATATGTTTATACCTCATCAAAGCAATATGGGCATTAGTAAGGTATTAAGGACATCTTAGGTGTTGAGGATGGTCTTTACATTTTGACACCTGTGAAAATTTGGGAACTCTACCTCAAATGACCTTTGATCTGTTACGTCATTAATGTGATCATGTCAGACGTTAACCCGCGCCGGGCCGGTGCCCCATCAGCGGGCCGGGGGGGGGGGGCGTCGTAGAGACAAGCGGTAGGCGGCGTTCGAAAGAACGGTAAAAAAAAAAAACAGTAAGAAAGTACCCACTCAGTCAAGAAGATTCACAGATGTGATGAGTGTCGCGCGCTACTCTCTGACGGGCTAAGGGCGCAACTGGTAACCGTGGTGGCAGAGAATGCTGAAGAAAAGCTGGTGGCTGCTAGCTTCACCGACCTCCTCAACCGTGGAAAGCTCCTGCAACCGAG